AACAAGACCGACCGTAAACAAAGTAAACATATAAAACGAATTTCATTCGAAATGCAAACGAAATGTTTTTCGACTTTTTTTTTCTCTTTCTTTTTTTCCAGTCGACAGAAAAAAAAACCGTCCGAAGCGTTGTTGAAATGATTTGGCTATTTGTTTCTTTGGGCTTTGCATGTGTTGAACGCGCATTTTTCCAATTTTCATTTCGAATGTTTGAGTTTTATCGCGGGTGTGTTTATTTCCGTTGTCGTGTTTGAAGCAGAAAAAAAGAGAAAACACACATCGATGTTTCAATGAAAGCAATTAATCTATTTGCCGCGCGTTTTTATTTGCTTTCGAATTGAAACGCGTACATCAGTGTCCGCACCATGTCTAAATCGATCTACAATTTTAGAATGAAAAATAATAAAAAAGTGTATCGAATCGATAAAGATCGATGTTTTAACACGCTGGCTCCAGCAATAAAAAAAGTACTCCGGTCCCGAATAAATATTGAACTCTTTGCAACACAAGTATAATGATTAATTTTGTTTATCAGATCATATCGCGCGCGCGCGCATCAGCAGACGAACACTTTTTGTCGATTTGAGATATATAGATTTACACTAGCTGTTGGTGTGTAGAGAAAAAGAGAGAGAGAAAGAAAAAACAGCAGAAATGAAAAATCCCAAATGCAAACATCGAATCAACATATTTCCCGTCGTTGCAAAAGTGCAATGCCCTGGTGCAACATATAACAAACACAGCACGGCACTTATCAAGATAACGCCGAGCACTATTTTTACATGGTGTATATTTTTTCCACGACATTGTTATGTTTGCTATGATTTTATGACGACAAGACGTAGCCGTTTTTTCTTTGTGTGTGAATGTGTTGTCATGCCAATGTGCTTACATAAAAACTTGAAAAGCCCTTTTTCGAAATCGCTTTGCACAAAAGATGAATGAAAATTGATAAAGAATTTGTGGATAATTTCGTTTCAATCGACAGTCATGGCTTACAAATAAGCAGCTTATCGACATCGTCAAATCACTGAAAATTTCACTTAATACTTCATTATTCTTTTTGTATTTTGGGTTATTTTTTTGTGCTAGAACCACCGATTTTTCATAATACAACCGATTCCATTCCATTCTTTTGATATTTTATTTCATGTTATTTTACATATTTTCAACATTTATTACAATCATCACATTGACTCTATTCTTGGAACAAGTCGATGCGAGTCTGTCGATAAAATGTTACGGCTGGGAGTGAGAAAAAAGAACGTTCTGTGCCATCAACTCAATAAAAAACGACTTTTTAAAAGTCGATTCACTTCCATTATTTCATCCGATTGAATGATTTTTGTTACTTGATACAAACATTTACTATTCGACAATTTTCAACATTTGTATTCTATCTCTTTCTCTCGATCTCTTGCTCGCTCTGCTATATCAAATTCGTGTGTGCCTGTGACATGTGTGAAGTTTCCGAATATTTTAAATATAAATTTTTCAATTTATGGCAAACCTATGCAAATGCGTACCCGTGAAACCGAAACTCATTTCCGATGGCTTGTACCTTTACACCAGGAGCGCGCAGACATACACAGACCGACTGTGCAGCGCAGCGCACACACGACGTGTGAATGAGTGAGTGTCACGAGCGTATATTCGTATGCAATCGAACCTGAAAATCGAATTGAGGTTTTATTTATGTACCTTTTGTTAGATGCATTGTTTATTTTGCGTTAACGCTTGATTGAAAATTAGAAATAGATAAATTCCAATGGATGACGGTTTTTTGTTTTTGTTTTTTACACCGTGTCACACACACACACATCGGTCCAAAACAATCTCAACGAAAATTGAATGCAGTCGTAAATCGTTGGGCCAGCGAGAATCAGAATTTATGTAAATTAATTGGTTTTTGTTTTACCATTTTAAATTCAAATCAAAAGAACCAAAATATCATTTATTCATTCGACCATATTTCATCGATTCATTCGAATCAATTTTGAGGCTTTGCATATGTTGTATATGAGCACCCATCGTGAGGGGTAAATTGGAAATATTGTGTGTAGTACTTGCATTTGCAGAGTTTTTTTGTCGATATCGATTCATGATTAATTCACCAGGTAACGGTATAATAATGAGTATATTTGTTTTTGTTCTCTATCCCACTTTGATAAAGTTTGTTTTTTTTTTAAACATTTTATGTTCAATTTTCAATTCCCATCAATTTTTAATGTATCAATTGATTGCTGTCACATTGAATCCCACATTCACAACATTCTTTTTGATGCATAAGAAAATAACAAATGGAAATTTGTTTTTCAAAATGCGCTGCATATATTCAATAATTTCTACTCTTCGTATATATCAGTTTTGTTTGCTATTTATGTGTGTTTGATAGTGATCGAAATTGGATTCTTCGTTGCTTAAATTGATACGTATTCGGAACATACGGTCTCTCTCTCTCTCTTCCTCTACTTTTCTGTCTCTTGTTTTGTGTATTGTTGAGAGGGATCCGTAAACATATATTTGCTGCACAATAGTGCATATTTTTTTGTTGTTCTCATTGGCTTCTGTTTGGGTTTTCGTCCACATGTGCGCGACACGGTGAGACGCATGTAAATATTTAAACAAGTGTCTGTTGTTGCTGTTTTTAAACACAGAACATAATTTATGAGAAGCAAAAGCAGAGAGTGGATGGAGGAGGATATCTGTCGATGTGATGGCACACGTTTGCAGTTCAACACACATGCAAACATACAAACACGAAATATTGCTCGCAGCTAGTTACATGCAATAGCATAAGGTTCATACAAACTAGAAATATGAATTGGTTCGAAATGGTAAAAATGTGTTCTTTTTTTCGGGTTGGATTTGAGTTCAGCCAAAGACTTTTTAAGTGAAAAAAAGACACCAAGTGGAGAGACAAAGAGGAAGAGAGACAGAGGAAGGCATCGGAATCGGAAAGCAGGAACTGAGCGACCACATAAACATTTTGAATGCCAATCAGAAACATTGTTGGTTGACATTTGAATGTGTTGGACGTGTGCAAAGAGTTGGAAATAGACACATTGAAAAAGCAGCCATATACGAAGTAGTAGTTTTGTTAAAATGTCTACATTATGCCATTCGCTGTGTAAACATGCACGATCTATATCGTGGCAGCAGCCACTGCTAGTACATAGATGAGAGGTGACTTGCTGACATTTCGATAATAATAGTTCGTCTACGTGTGTCGCCCGACGATGGTTTCATTTTTTTTGTTTTTCATTCTTTCATTCATTCCAATGCCACTGAATTATTTATGCGATGCTCTTCGAACTTTTGATCACAACGACACCGCCATCGCATCTTCTTTTTTTCTGTCTCTTTATGTGCCATTGTTATTCGGCGTGCATGTTCAATACAATGGATTTGCTCTCGTTCATCTTCGGTAAATCTATATTAAATCAACGTACATAATTAATTTTCAGCCCGTTTTGTTTTCAAATTTCAACGGAAGGAGAAGAGAGAGAAATAGAATAATAAAATGTGTCTGTAACTGTATTTTTCTTTGCAACTGTAAATGGTAATTTTTCTCCAAAAGACATCTCATTCCATAAAACGGTGACATAGAATAACAGGAAGTTTAAATGGACGGGATGGGTACAGCAAATGGACATTCGAATACCCCGTTTAAACTTCACTTATGGCATTTCGGCTAGACAACTTATTCACCATTACGATCGATAAAATGAAGTAGTAACGGTATTTGCATAGCATTTGTTGGCATTTTCATGATAGCTAATATCCATTCGAAACATTTCAATGAACCCACCCATTTTATTCAATCGAAAGTGCCAAAATGAAGCAACAACACACATATGTTTGACGGCAAAGTCAATTAAAACACTTTTCCACAGAGAACAGTGTGTAGAAATACGAAAACTATTTCGAATATTTTTTGTCATGCGATTCGGCATGGAAGTTTTGTGGTGTATGCATATGCATGGAATGGTTTCTTATGGACAATCTCTTCTCCAAGTTTTGTATGCTATGACATGTGACATGTTTATAATTAAATTTTGTGAAATAATTTTGTCTATCGCAACTCACACATCCGGACGGCCAACCGTATTCGAAAATGGATTTTTTTACTTACGCATCATATGTTATTCAATGTATACACAGAATAAGAGCTTGAAAAACTTCTTCTTTTCGGTTGACATTTTTTCTATTTATTTTGTTGCTTTGGTCGCTTGAAGTAGTGATTTATTGTTGATTGTATACCGAATAGACATTAATTTATTAAGAGCGACAGCCGCAACATTGAATCGATCTCATTCAACTTACTTGGGTCATTTTCAGAGCGATTTCTCACTCTCTTTCAATTTAATTTATAACATGAATGCAAACAACAAATTCTTTGCATATTAACTAACATTTATCGAATTTAAATTGGGTCTATTTAGCCGCACCCCACCAACAATATTAAAAGATGAATTTTTGTTACGAAAACTGCATTTTAGGCTGAGTAAATCAAAAACAATTTTAAAAACGATAATTAACTTTTTTCAAATATTTTTGTTGTTGTTCATTTAACACATGTGTATCAAATCTGTTGAACGTTTAACTTTGAAGGGTATCTGATTTTAATTATGTTTCACCCACACGTATAATCAATGTTGATGGAATTTTTACGGGTAATTCAATTAATTAGCGAGACATATAGAGACTGGTCGACGTGAATGTCGAAGAAGAAACAAAAAATAACCGAATGACAGAGAGAAAACAGAACGGCCCGAAATGATAAATGGGCCGAAAATTCAAAGCAGACCATATCAGTATGAAACACAAAATACGACGCACGTCGCGAATACAGGAAGTAAATGTCTAAAAGGTTTGCTTACATCAAAAAAATAAAGAAAAAAGATTATATATAAAAACCGACGAAATGGCGAAAATCGAACGCCCCCGAAAAAAAGGGAATTAGTATGCAATAGAGAAAATCAGCGATAAACACTCACCTTTAATTTGTTGAATTGAAATGGATCGACATTGAGCTTAGCTTTAGATATTTCGATAGATTGCGGCAAATGGCGCGGTTTATTATCCGATACGATGATATCAAGAGTCACTTCGTTCACCGTGTTAAAGCGAAGAAAAAAACAAACCTAAACTGTGTTACCAAAATCAATAATACAGCATGTGCCTTTGTCTTTAATTGTATTTTTCGTGTGTCTCTGTGTCTATTTTGTGTATATGGGCTAGCGTTCTGGGCGATTTATTTTGATTCGTCTTTGTCTTTATCTTTATCACTTGAGTTTCAATCTCTGTTTATTTCACAAGAACACGCTTCGCGTACTATATTTACTTCTTCGTATTATTATTATTATTTTTCTTTTCTTGTTTTCTCACACTCACTTCGGTTGTGCATGACACACCAAATAAAAGGTGAAATCTCTCTCGTTCAGTCGATGTCAGCTATTTTTCTTATAGTCTTTCGTTCAGTGTGTCTTTTTGTTTCAGCTGATTTTCGATTAATGTGTACTAAATCCGAAATTCGTGTTGTTTGGCCTTCCAATCAAAGACAATCCTCTCCGCTGAAAATAAACAAATGATTCGTTTTAGTAAGTTGGCGTGATATTTGCAAAATGCTACAAAAACAACAACAAAAAAAAAAGAAATTGTATGCATGGCATATGGAATCCTCGAAGAGTGACTTAGATCGAAGCAAGACAGAGATAGGTGAATGCATGAGAAAAACCGTTCGCTACGAATGAATAGAAGAATGTTGTACATTGTTGGTTGTTGTGAATTGTTGTCGCTTTACCGATTGCCAAATAGATGGATGGTTCCTTTATTGACTGCCATCCGATTCAAATGCATACACCATTTCTCACATCCATTCACTGTTTCTTTTGCTCTCTAGCTGACTGTGCCTTTTAAACAACCAAACATACAACCAATTTAAATAAGTATCACGATTTTCTCGATTCAACGGAATAAAACGCGTGCTCACATGGCGCAACCGATAGAGAGAGAGAGAGAGAGAGAGAGAGAGAGAGAGAGAGAGAGAGAGAGAGAGAGAGAGAGAGAGAGCAAAAGAGAATCAACAAGCGAACGTATAAAATGGAAAACACTTTGCCAGTGTGGAGTATTTTTTGTTCTTCAATTTAGTGTGTATGTTTTTCTTTTTGCTGGAATCTGAGTGAGAATGCACGCCGAAAAAACACACATTATCGAAACGAATTTGATGCTAATCCAGCGACGTGTTCGTTTTCTTCGTGTATTCTGCTTGTTCGTTATATCGAAGATCAAATTAAATCCTCACACCGAATTTCAATGTCTGTTCAACACCATCCTGAACGATTTTTTTTTGTTCGTTCGTTCGTTCCTTCGTCGCTCTTTACAATTTCCATTCAGAGCACTTATACAGCTAGGAAATTTGTGCGGATTTTTCACACTCGAATTCGATTTACAATCGATTTCGATGCAAGTTTCGTTCGCCAAAACAATTTAATTGGCAACAAATGTTACACACATTTTTTCGGGTTTTACTAGTACTTCTTCTTCTTCTTGCCTAGGCCATAAATCACTTTGGCTTCATGTTTAACATGCTTGAAATCTAATTGTGTGCAATTGAATTAAAGTATATTCCTCGTAACCCTTTTCACACTCTTTCGCCTACTCTTACAACATTTTTTTTTTCTTCGCTCGAAAAGTTTTTTTTCTTTTGCAAAGGCATTTTCTCGATAAGAACCAAATGTACGGATACAGTGCAAAAGAATACACTTTCGGAAATGTGAAAGCGTTTGTGTGTGTGTGCAAATCGTATAATTTGATCTGTCAGAAACACAAAACGTCGGGCCGAGAGCGGAAAAACCTCAGTTTGTTAAAATTAAATCACTTGACGTATGGACAGCACACGTACTTCTCTCGTTTGCATTTTCTGTTGAAATTTTTTTTTTTTGTTGAAACACAGTTTCAATCAGTGTGTTCCAATTCATGCGTGCACAATTCGATCAGCATGTCAGTTTTATAAATGAATTTGACCGCCCTATCTCGCCCACTCAGACAAATTCACAATTGAAATATATACGATATATTCAATGGATTTGCATTATCAAATTTTAAAATGTCTATTTTCGGGCGGCAAAAAATCATTGAGCAAAAAGAAAAGACAACTAAAAAATGAATCTCATCATATAAAGTTTTTAGATGAATGAGGTCGTGAGAGTTACAAAAAAAGTGCTCATTAGAAATTGTGCTCGTCCCACACATTGCACAATTGCGTGTTGAATACACATATAAACGGTTTTGCATGCGTTGAGATGGATTTAATGTACCTGAACGAAAAGTTTTTACACATGAGTTCGTTTCAAAAGCAATTATCACCTCTGAATGACAGAACGCTAAGGGTTCCCGGAGTGTATGAGAGAGAGAGAGAGAGCCAACATCAACGGTATAATCTAGTCAATGTGTGACGATGGTCATCTCCGACATCACACAGAACACAAGTGAGAGAGAAAAAAAACAACAAAGCTAAGGATTTATTTGCGTTCTCGTTTGGTCATTCGCACATTTATTGCACACGAGAGCTCGGTTGGTTCGTCGTAATTCCATTGCAAACACATGAAATTTTCGCACACTGGAAAAACATTTACTCTTCTCCGGTCATGTGTGTGTGGGATTTTTGTTTTTGTTATTGTTGTTTGTGTGCTGGATTTTCAAGTGGAACTGAAAGCAAAATGTTCAATTGGTCATATATTAAATAAAGCATCCGAAAAAACACGAGAGAAACACACAGACATGAAAGACATAAACTCATGATAAAAACTCAATAATGTGCAGAGTCGGTGCTTTTCGATGAATTAAGCGAGCGCGTGCACACACGTTTTTTTGGGACGGTGGAATTTTTCAGCAAAACCTCCGATTAAACAGTCTTATGCTTTCATACACTCACACCAACCTCTCCGTCCACAAATTCTCTCATTCTAGAAATAAATATTTTACGTTCGTTCTTTTTTCTATGGTAATTGGTGGTCATGCTTCAACATTTTACGAGATCGTTACATCGAAATGACGTGAGTGCTTGTTCATTTTCTAGAAACAGGAAGCATTGATCAATAAAATAACTCTACGTAAATTGACAGACTCTTAGAGACAGAGCGTTAATCGGATTTTTTCCTAGCCATTCGTTGTCTGAAATGCGTGATAAATTAAGTATTGACAATTTTTTCCCTTTAGCAAACTTGCACCATTCAATGTGATTGAAATCGATATTTTTTTCCATCGACCAGTCAGGATATATTTTTTTCACTCGTCTCTATGTTACAGCGACTGTGCAGTCACAGTAATGAGATTAAAGTGCAACTCACCAGCTGGCATCTCTATTAATGGTTGTTATGCGTTTATTTTGTAATTCGATGCGTAAATAAAGGCTTTACGTTCAAACAGATACCGACACAAGAGTGTGAACGTGTATAAAAAAAGAAGTGAATGTGTTAGAAATCGATTTTGACAACAAATTACATCATCGGGATGTGTATCCATAAAAAAAAATTCAGAAAAGTAGCATAACTCGTTTTTTGATGTGCATTCGCACTCGCACTCGCACTCGCTCATTTCGGAATAAATAATTGAAAAATGTGTTGATTTATTGATTTGCTTAATTGTTCGCTTGCGGATGAAAACACAGAATAAACAACAAATAAACACACAAAGATAACCAGTGAAGCAGGATCATTTTTTTTTCGGTTGGAATCGAGATCGAAGCATATGCACAAGCAATAAACGGAATTTCTTACACTCAATTACACACAGTCATGTATAGTGAAGAAAACCGAATAAAACATCGAAATGCAAAATCCGCAGAAGTGAATTGGATTTGAGACGGGCAGAAAAAAAACAGTAAGCTAAAAAAAGGAAATGTGCTGTTGATTTCGCGCTAACCAGCAGACGAAAGGCTTGACTTCTTTTATATTTATTTTTTTGTTTCAACTGGATTGGTTTGGTTTTTGTTGTTATTCGATGCCAGTAAAAATTATCGTTTGTTCGGTTTTTGGGTTTCTTTTTCACGTATTTGTTCTTATTCCTCATATTTACACTGTTCCATCGCAATCTGGCCAATATAATCAACAGTCACGAACTCCTAACAACTTCTCATTATTCATATCTGTTTCAAACCACATTGACGCTATTTTCTTTTCTCATTCGTGTCTGTTTCGTTTGCACAATAATTCGCGAGCCTTCGTGTCTTTTTATATCCAAGTTCTCTTGAATATGTGTATACAAAAATGACGGTCCGATTGTGCGGTTTTGAACACCAAAAAAAATCGTGGAACCTCGGCATCAAGAAGTCAACGAAAGAAGAAAAAACTAACTACTCCGAATGGATGGCTATTTATTGCTTCATAACAACATTTGCCCATCGGGCGCTCATTCTTGACTTTCGATTTGTGTTTATTCATTCAGCTTCGTTATGCATTTTTTTTTTACACTTCGTGTGTTTGGTTTTCCGTTGATTTTGTTTTCTGTTCAAACTCTTGGTAATTGTTTTCTTTTTCTTTCATTTTGTTAAGCGGTGTGTTATTTATCTGTTGTCAGTTTTGCGTATCGATTGTGTGGATTTAGTGCCGATGGTTTGGTGCATTTGCTTCACTTGTGTGTCTTTTTCACAAAGATAGTGAGAAATTAACGCTGCCGGCATTCAATGATAAATGCATACCGTATTACATGTAAAATATACTAAATGCCAAAAAAAACGGCAGTAGAGTAGGAAACAATAATCTCGGTTAAAAAGATCGATTACACAATATGTGCTTGTTATAGAATTTTTGTTTGCTCTTTCGTTACGATTCATTGCATTTTTTATTGTTTGCAGTGTTTCGTTTGTTTTTCTCTCTCGCTTTAAACTTTGTTTTGGGCTTGTTTAAATGTTAAAAACGTTTAACACCTCTTTTGTGTTGAGCAGCTGATTTTTCGTTGCCAAATTACTCAACTCTCTGTTATTCACACTAATTATGAAATTTTTTGTTTTATTTGCCGATTATTATCGTTTTATTTACGCGGCCAAGCGATTTCACATATCCTACTTTCCGTTTTCCGATGTGTGTTGTTGCTTTTTCACCAATGCGACTTTAATGAAATTGTATATTTTTTTTGGGCGAGATTAAAATCAAGATTTATTGCTACTAAATGGTTTTTTTTGAATACATATTATTTTACCACGAGAAACAAGTTGCAAACTCACATTGAAAAATAATTGGTAATCCAGAAATTTCGTTCAACAATTAAAATTTAGTGTTTATAATTTTTCGCACTCACTGTCCTGTTTGCAGCTATTTCGGTTTTTTTTCTCTTTTACACAATCCCTTTTTTTGCAAATATAAATCACAAACGATCACAATCTCACTTACTATTTGCACAAAAATGTTGGTCTCTCTTTCTTTCTTTCTCGTTTCCTCTTTTGTTTAGTCCTTATTAAAATTTCATTGTTTTTTCATTCACTTTTGTTCTTAAGTTCTTTTTTCTTTCTTGAATGAGGGAATTATACTTTATGATGGTACCTTTTCAATTCTTTGCACTTTCCAATTATTCACTCAAGAGAAGAAAGAACGAAGAAAGAAAAAAAATGTAAACGATTCCGCAAAACTTCTTTTCTCTCATTCGGCAAAACTCATTCTTTTTCCGTGTTCTAATTGTCCATCTGACGGATGTTAGAGTTCGAAATGTTCTTTTGAATTTCCATAAAATAAAGAGCGGTTCTTATTTACTTTTGTACGACGTTGAACAAAAAGTTAAACGCACGACCAAAGTCGATAACTTGAATCTTCTTTACGACCACACGGCAAGCCAAAATACCAATAAGAATTCATTCAAATTCACGCGCGACGGCAAAAAACAACACTAGTCTCGTCAACAGTTCCAACCAAACTGAATCATACAGTTCATTCCGTTGTGGCTAAAGGCGTTCGAGTGATACACACAACAACCGACCGACCGAGCAACGACGATGACAACGATGCCTATGAGCCAGTCAAACATATTGTTCGCTCGAGCTCGTCGATTCTGTTGCATATTGTGAGAACAACAGCTGAATTAAAAAACCATTGGCGCGGCATCGGCTCCATTTCTCCAACTGCAACAGCAATACTACCTTTATAGACGTAACGCATGTTTGATATAGTCAACGTCGTTCAACCGACTTCATTCAGTGCTTCGTCCAACAGTATGTTATTGAACTCAGCAGACAGCGGGGAAATGTGTGCATTCAGTAATGAAGGGGAAATGTTTCATTCACACACAGGATATGTCTGTGTGAAAGAGACGAATAGTCGTAATATTACAAACATTGTTTCCGATATGATGAATGGTTTTTTCATACTGTGCATGGACTTGCTGTGCTGAACGATGCTCTCCTTTGGTTTCATCGGTTCGCAGTATTTCGTGTAATATCGAAGCGAACGATAACACTGAAAGCAGTACTCGGTCTTTTGCTCACTCTTTTTCTCTGCATGTATCGTTCATAAAACGCAACACTACCTGGATACAAATGATAATGTGCTCGATACAAACGGTGAGTTCTTCATTTTCGGCTTCGATTGAATATTTATATCGACGAGAATTGATGTAAATGTGTGTTTGTGTGTATGGTGTGTGCTCCGCGCATCGAAAAGGAAACAAAGCATATGTTCTTTTATTTAGTGATCTGCTTTGCTTCGGTATTAAATAAAAGATTAAATAATTCTTTCGATTCTTCCGCTGGATTCAATACAAACTATCCAAAAGTGATTTCACATCACTCGGATTTATTTATATTTTTATCTGTTTCGTTATGTTTTGCACTGAGCACAGCATGCGACTGGGATTTTATCCATATTATTTTATCATATGAATTATGATTACAGTGTGTATGAACAGAGCACGGTATTTGTGCTCCAATTCGTTTTAACGGCCCGGACATACATATGTTTTGATTATTTCGTTCGGATTTTTATTGGCCTCTGCTTTCACCCTCTCTCTCTCTTTCTCCCTCCCTCTCTCTCTCTCTCTCTCTCTCTCTCTCTTTCAACCTCTCTCTCCCTCTCTCTCTCTCTCTCTGTCTCAAAAGACAAAGCGAAAGAGAGTGGGAAAAAATCAAAAGATTAAATTAAGTGGTTTTCCGCGCGCTCTCAAACAAAATTGTATTGGAATTTCTTAACGCCACTTCAATAATTTCATTAGTGAAACACACAAAATTACAGTCTTGATCCGATTTAGTGCTAATTGTTTATCGTAGTGTTGCTTAATTTCTGACATTACCTTTAATCGAAAAGATTTGTGAGACAAATTGAAGCGAAGCGCATAGAATGAAAACTTTGGATTTATCTTCTTCCTAGCCCTTACCCACATTTTTTTCTCTTTGCAGGTGCATTTTCAATGCATTTCATTTTTGGCGTAGTCAAAATTTGCAATGGAAAACACTGTGACCACAACCGTAATTTAATTTACTTAAAATTTTCAGTTTCTTCCCGTCCGTCTTTTTCTTCCCTGTTTTCCTACATTTCAAAGTTGTGGTTGCTTTGTAGCGCTCTTGCTCTCTTGTAACTTTGCTCTTTCTCTATTTCGAAATAATCGTTGTCGTTGACATTTGAAAATCGTTGCAATTTTTGGTTTACAAATGTATATAAATATTTGAGCATGTCCTCCGGATTCAATTTTACTTTTCAATTTGAGTTGAAACGAAGAAAGAAGCGATTAAAAATCGGTACGTTTGCAGCCAAAAGGCAGATTTTGAACATTCTATGGCTAAGTTAATTTAATTAGATGTCTTTTGTTGTTATGCCATTGCAATTCAGCAACAATTGGCCCCGACTTTTCGAATGTCACTTGGGAACAAAACATCCATTGCTACACATACATGCACAGACATTGCTGTACTCTTGTTCTGTCTCATTTTATAAACTGCCATACAAAATATTATGATAAACTTTCTGCTAATTTACATTACATTCACCTGGAGAAACTTTGCACTTTTCAACACAAACACATAATTTTGTTTTGGACGTTGTGAAATGAAACAACGACGATGACGACGATGTATGGTATGGAAAAAGTAACCCCCTCCGGGTTTGAACGAATAGACGGTAAGACTGTGATTACTAAAATCTACGCGAATGAATGAGTGAACGAATGAATGAGAGAAAGATTAAGATAGACTTGGGTAGAAAATGATTTTAATGTTTGAAATTTGTGAAATGACAACGACGACAAAACAACACAAAACTTTTTCTGACAATCAAATGGTTGAGAATTTTGGATTAAAAAGTGAGAGAGGCACTGAGCAAACGATGAAATGTCATATTGTAAGTGGGGTTTTTGCTCTTCGTTGAGAGAAGTCGACAATTGGAACGCAGTGAAGGAGAAGAACTAACGCAATCAAGGAAAAATTATTCATGACGAATGCGAATGTGGTGTGCACTTACTGTGTTGCTCAAAGGCGCTTATGAAAAATGCATACCGAAAGCAGGAAAAAAATACACGTACACACACAACCATTTCAAACAAATGTAAATGTGCATCAGTGTGGCAACCACTCTCACTAGTCGTATATATGAAAACCGAACATTTTCGGCAGTTCGTTCGATTCGGTTCTTTTTTTTTTCTTTTTCAGTTTGCTCTCAGCTGAAAAAGTGATTTATGAAATGAAACGGCAGCCAAAAAAGTGAAGAGAACGAGACGAGAATATGAGAAAGAGAGTGAACGAGACAGAAACAGACAACTATGTAGTAGAAAACGAGAGCAACTGGCAATCGTAAAACTGATTTACTATTTTATATTCCAAAAGACGAAATGTAAACCATCGTGAATCGTATACTGTCTTTCGGTCGTGTGCTCGTTCGTTTCGCGCGAGCGTTTTCGTGGCACGGCCATGTCATATCGCATCGAAATAAAATTTAAATTAGTTTTGCAAGTAAAATTGCATGAAAATGGTTTGAATACGGAAAATTATGAAATAAATTCACTTTTAATTGAATTTTCTACGATGAACAATTTTTTGCCTCGTCTCTGTTCCCGCCACTTTTGCCACCAACTCTTGCCGCCGTATGTGTAAGCTCGAAGAGCGTTTGATATGTTTTCGCTCAGGTTTGTTTTGCCTCTTCGTTCATGATGGTATTGGCTTTGAGCTGTGGAAACGTTGGTTCATGAATACATTGTATTGAGACACATCCAATTGAATGACGTAGACAATTTTCTAAAAGAAAAACGAACGAAAGCCAAACCATGAAAGAAAAAGGATGAAGCAAAAGAAAGAAACAGATGAATAGAGATAGAGAGGTAGTGGGAAGCAGAATGCAGAAAGAGAAAAACATAGCAGAAAATTTAAATCCACTTACAGATTGGCACGCGGTAAAGTGTATTGCAACGTCGGAAATTTATTGCGATAAAACCAATTGTAGATTTATATACAAGTTATTATAAATGCATTATACAAATGAAATTATTGAAAAACATGCACTTTGTATACATACACACAACGACGACGATAACGACGACGACGACGACGACGATTGAAGACATCAATTCTTATAGTAACATATAGTAAATGGCTGAACAAAAAGGTTTCCCAAAGATCTTCTTCCGACCGACTCTTGCTATGCGAAGAGTGAATTGAGATATAGAAAGAGCGGTATGGAAAAGTTGATAGAATATTGGTGCTACGTGACAATTATTCAAACTTCAATTATTGCTATCTAAAGTTTACCCTATTGATTCGTCGTCGCTTGCACATACATACAGAAAAAACGGCATTCAACCAGACGTGCAATGCGATTTTGGCTTGAGAAAGGAAGGAAAATATCTCCCTCTTTCATTCTCGAATGTCATTGATACGAAAGCAGTTGGTACGAACTGTTGATACATTCTCTTGAATTAAACAGTACAATCTGTGCACTTTAAGAATTTCAACTATTTTGAATATCATCGGGCAAATGCAAATCAAGAATTTTCAACCACCAGTGCCGTTCAATACATTGATTGAATTCGGTATTCAGAATTGGTAGTTTTTGGTTTGGCAGACGGCATGCATGAAATTTGTTATAAATATGATTATTTTGTAATCAGATCGGTTTACTTTCGCACTTTGTGTGTTTGTGGGGTTTTGTTTTAATCGAATTTTAATTTACATTTGTAAAGCAGCGACAGAAAACAAAAGAAAAAAAAAATCTGGTTCAAGTCAACAATGGTCTCATTTTAATGCTCCCATTTCTGAAACGAAATTGATATGATTTTTTTTTATTATTTCAATTTGATATTTATTGCAAAATGTTTTATGGATATTTAATAACGAGAATGGAAAAAAGTGCTTTTTTATTGAAAAAAATTCATTAGAATTCAATTCATCGAAAGGGGAAACATAACAAAAACCGCAGCTTTGGGTGTGCTGTCAGCAAAAAATAAATATATATACAAACGGAATACTTTATGCGGTGGTGGAACCATGGGAAGTGTGCTTGTTTTTGATATTAAAAACGACAGGTGCCGACTCAGCACGAATGCGACTTTTTTATTGGAAAATACACATATTTGATGTGGTCAGATGAATTTTAAACCTTTCTTCTTTTCAAGAAACAGCAAAAATTCCATACACATCCACACGTATACCGTTATAAAATCAAAGTGAAATATCAAACATATATCACACTGGCGACTACGATATGCAAACGCATCTTTTTTTCGCACGAAATATCACTTCATGAAAGAGAGAGAAAAAAATGGGAAATGAGACAAAAAGGCATGACTCCCGTCACGTAAAACTTGCGGGCTACCACAGGCTTTACTTAAATGACTGCCACTTATTTGTCATTTTTTTCTCTATGTGTATTTTGGTGTGCAGTGTTCTCTCTCTTGCTCAAGCGAAAAACATTTCACTCAAA